AATCACCATTACATCTTGCAGTAAGAAATTCCATTTGACTATGCATTCTCTGAATATTTTGCTATGCTCAACATTCTACCATTCAGCTTCACTGGATATAGTACTTTTTCTTCTGGGTTTTTTTTACAGATTAAGTTTAATCTAAATGTCTAAGAACAGCACATCCTTCTTCCCTACATTTTCACTTTTAACAGACTGTAATAATTCTCCAAACATGCTGAAATTACAACTCCCAGTTTCTGTCTTGCCTCTACTGGCTGGGAATGTTTTCCCACTCTTGTGACAAATGACTATGTGGAGCGAAAGGTGGCTTATACTGTCTGACTACGCAGTCTAGTTAGGTGCAACATTGTTCAAGTGCAACAATCTGACTTTGTTAATAAATGGTGGTTGAGACCTCTGATGAGACAAGAAGAATTAACACTTTTCCCACACAGCAGATTGTAGGAACATTATGGCCAAAAGGCAGCTGGATGTGAGATCCAGATTGCCAGAATTCTCTCAGAAAAAAAAAGAGAGATCTGAGATTACCCTTATGTACAGCTGATTTTTGTGAATAAACAAATTGACATTTTTGTAGCTGTTTGTGATCAGCTGGAAGTTGTGGTTTCCATCATGCTCTGAGCTATAAAGGCAAATTTTATGGACTCATGGTTCAACCAATCTCATCATTTTAGTCATTTTGGAGATTTACTTTTTAGTGTTTCTTTAAGACTGAAAAACTTTCAGAATCGCAAGTTTACAGTTGCTAGGTGAATATATCTTCTATCCATTTAAAAAGAAAGAAAATTTATGTCTTTAGTTTTTATTTATTTTATTTCATTTATCACATTTTAAATATACTTTGAAAATTATGTATTTCCAGCCTTGTAAGAACTTTATTTTATTTTATTTTATTGCAATTTTCTGCACTATACATCAAAGGGGTGATTTTAGAGTTGTTTTTGGAAAGTTTTTAAATGCTAAGGCTTGTGAAATTGCTTTAAAGAATGACTTTGAAATTAATTAGAAAGATCCTCTCATTTAAGAAAAATCTGTCTTGTTTACATTTCAAACTAAGAAAAAAGGCTTTGAGAATCAATTAGTAGAGAATAAGATGTCTACTTTCCTTTAAAGATAACTAAAATAGACTTTAAGGTGGACTTAAAAATTATAACCTACAAGAAAGAGATGGAAGTCCTGGATTTACAAATGTAATTGGATGATCATTTAAAAATTAAAAAGGAGATACAAATAATGCATCAAAAGACTTATGTGGACTATGGTTTTAACTGAAATATAAGCCGTCTCCTAGGGTTGTTTCCTGGAAATTACAAATGGATTTGGATAAAGATGATAAGAATTTTGAGAGAAGATGGAAAAATAGAACAAAAGAGGACATGAATTTTATCTCTGGGACTTAAGGATAGTCAAGAGGAAGAAGGGAAAAAACAAAATATAATTTATTTCATTATTTAAATAATGAGTTGCTATCTTTGGTGGTGCTTAGTGGTTATCTTGATTGAACAGTTTTTCTTTTGGAAGAGGTTAGTGGTGTAATGGATTAGTTTACATCATTTATGTTATTTTTGATATCTAAATAAAGGATTATTGATTTTAGTAATGTTTAATAGTTTTTAAATTTTTCTGCAAATTTTAATTGTTAAGAGAGGGATGAGGAGGATTTAAATAAAATGAAAAAGAGAAATATATATTTATGTTAGGTATTTCTATTAATTTTTACTGAACATTAATAAGGAGACCTGAAGATTTACAGATGAGTTTAGAGAAAATGGGGTGAGGTGTAGAATGAAGATGTATTTTATTTTATTTTATTTTATTTTAAGAGATAGTGCTAAATTATTAATGTTGAATATGTTTGCTATGGATGAAGAGGGAAATTCCTTTTTCTTACTATTTCTTTTGGGGGGAGTTTTTCCTCACTTTTTATTTTTTTCATGTATTTTTGTATTAGGTTCTTCTATTAGTTTTATCTGTTTACTGTAATTCTTAATAAAACTGTTGAAAACATAAATCTAGCAGAATCAGAAAACACTAATTTTGAAGACTGTTGTTTATTATAGGACATAATTTATATTAAAAATTATATTTATATTTTAATATAATTATTTTTTTTATTAAACATTTATATTAAAAAACACTCTAGAAGGGCATGCAGTTAAATTTTGAACTAGGAACAACAATCCATATAGCGCACAATGAACAGGCTATATAACTTATTACATTTGTTTGCATAAAAACAGCAGTCTGTAAAAAGTCTTTTTAAGTTAAACCTGTTATCATACTATCATTGCCATTGTATGGAGCAACCTGTAAATGAAGTCACTGAGTTTTGTGTACGCACATTGGAAAATAATTGAAATTACTGAAATTGCTTTCAGCAATTGTGTTGATAATTTCTTCCCTCTCTCTGTGCCAAATATTCTCAAATTTCATTAGCAAGCTTCAGTATTAACTTTGAATTAACAACAATCCTGATTGTTCTTAGGTATAGCAGAACATTTTGCTATGAGCAGTGGTATGCATACATATTTATTCACGTTTATTGGAGCTGGCCAAGTGGAAGTAGAAGTTTCTTGTTCTTGCCGTTTCTTCAAGAAACATTCAACAATGACTCCCATGTTACAGCAATGTAAGGTAAGAATGTAAATTTGCAAAAAGAAATGTTTTAGAATCAATACTTTGGATTGTTTTTGATAAAACCTACTTTGTTTTGAAACCAAGATGGAACCTTGCTCCAGTTTTCTGAAATTTCAAACAGCCCTCTATTGACTAAAATGGAAAGTCAACAAGTGTCTATGGTATATTTTTTCCTCTTTTAGAATAGTAAAAAAATATAAACCTAATAATACCTTGATCAGTTTCCATTTAGTATGATGTAGGGATTTCATGCAAGCAACCTTAAAATTTATTTTGGGTACCAGAAAATGAATTTTGCCGAGCCATTCTTTTCTCTCAGAAAAGATGGAAATGATTTGCCTAATATGGTTTGTCACATTTTTGTTCACCTATTGAGTCCTTCCCGAGGACCTGGGATAGGCAGATGTGCATTAGTATTATGCTTATTTGTTCAATTTATTTGCTGTCTATCTTGCAGTGGGGCTACTCTAGGCGGCTTACAGTATTAAAAATCAAGAAAAGAAAAGAAGTGTAATCAAAACAGAAGTAAAATAATAAAACAATGAAATGAACAATGAAAAAGAGAACAGGAATACATCAATGTGATAACAAAAGATGGACAGGTGGAGAGCAGAGAGCAATGGAATGGAGTCTTCCATAAATCCAACAGCCACTTCCAGCATGAAACTCCCCTTTGGGTCCCCAGGCCAACTGGCAGAGCCATGTCTTGAGGCTCTTATGGAAGGATAGAAGGGTGGGGGAAGATCTTACCCTAGAGGGTAAGATATTTTAAAGGATGGGTGCTGTGGTAGAGAAGACCCTCTCTGTCGGCACAAATAGGATGTGTTTGTCCTAAGGAGACGAGACGGTTCATCAGGTAGCCTGGACCCATGCCATTAATGGCTTCTAGGTCATAACCAACACCTTGAACTGCACTTGGAAGGGGACTGGTAGCTGGTGCAGTTTGTGGGGTAGAGGTGTAATACAGGCCATCCTAGGGCCTCCAAAGATTGCTCTCACTGCTGCACTTTGCACCAGCTGAATCAAGACTGACACAGACAAACAATCAACAAACAAGATCACATAAACAATTATACAAAAAGGCGAAAGATTTATACGATCTGAAGAGAAACCATTTATTATTCAGGCTTTGGCTAAAGCAGAAATATGCATATGATATTACTTTAGGAGACCTTTTTGTAATATGCAGATAATTCTTAAGTGATTAAAATATAAATAATTATGTGGAGTTCCCAATTCTTAAAGAACTTCTGTAGTATTAAAATGAGCCATTCATATTTTGTTCTGAAGGGGGAAAGTATTCATTATGAAATGAATATATTATATAACATGTTATGTTATAGGAAAGATTAATAAAATTTACCAAATAGGCTGAATTCAGATAGCTGTCAGGAAAAGATAGTTTAGCACCTTGAATTGTCTTTATTTCAGGTTAGAGTTGTCAATTGTTCTGCTCTAACTCAACCCAGGTTGAAACGCAATCCATTTTCAAGTTACATTGCTAGTCTGTAATAAGAAAGTGCACTGAAAATGAACAGTAACTTTTCCTTTTTGTGAAAAATGAGTGGAGAGGGGTTCTTTATTTATTAATTGATTTAAATATAGTGGGATAAATACTCCTAGAAAAATAAAGAGCTTTGATGTAAATATTTAATCTGATATCATTTGGCTTTTATATAAATAGACTGATAATGCTCAGTGCTTTTTTTCTAAAAAAAAAAAAAAAAAAAGGTGCCGGAACTCACACATGTCATACAACCCGCCTTGCCTACCCTACAAGGTTCCATCCAAAAAAGGTGCCGGAACTCTGTTCTGGGCGTTCTATGAGAAAAAAAGCCCTGATAATGCTTACTATGAGATTAGGGGAGAAATAAATATGGTAAAAATGAATATAACTTAGAATGTCAATATTAATTTTGAGCAGATTTATCTACGGTATTTTATTGGGTACTCATCCTCACCCCATTCTTCCCACCCTTCACAGATGGGAAGAATGATGAAAAATACATTACTACATTGCAGTGCAAATTCTACCCTTTTTAAATTTGCACTATGCATATGTTGCAGTTTTTCTTTTGTCTGTTTCTTTGTTGGGCAGTTTAATGATTACACACAACAACAATAACAGCAAGCATTGTTCCCAAATCCCAGATGTTAGCTTTATGTTATATCTCACTATAAAGAATATGCTTTCCCCTTGTTTTACAGTAATTTGTTTCCTTTATTCAGTTGCAAATCCTCTCTGTCAATTTCTCTACTTTTAATAGCTTCTGCAGTAAGTATTACATTAAAATTCAGGGAATAACAAACATGTTATTGAGAGCTAGCCTCGCACAGAATACAACATTAAAAAAACTTTTTCAGTCATGATCTTTCACAAACCGAGGGGGTCTGTGAAACGCCAGTTGAGAAAAACTGCTCTAAGACAATTAGTATAATCAAGGAATCAAGTATATTATCTGGCCACAACTAGTGAAAATTAATCAAAATCAATTATTAGCCCTGTGAGGTAAATTTAAACAATTCCCCCAGAACTGGAGCCAATATGTCTTTAACAAGTTGCCTTTTTTGAAAAAATAAAATAAAATTATAGACATTTTTGCAATATTCACTGTATATCTAAATCTAGATCACCACACCCTCACCCCCATCCCACTTTATACAGGAATGTAATTTTAACTAACCAGTCAACAGGAAAAATACAACTGTAAAAACAGAAATCAATTTGGAGACACTTCACTGAATGTACAATTGATTATCATGTTATTTATGATTAATGCTAATATCTTTTCCACCTGTCTTCAATGTTATTTCAGGCAAGGCTCACTTTTTTACACCATTTGTCCTCTTTTCATAAAATTATGTAGGGTTAAATAGGCATGCACTGCAGCTAGTCCTAACAACCGCTTGTTTAGTGACCGTTCAAAGACCGTTACAATAGCATTGAAAAAAGTACCTTATGACCATTTTTCACACAACCATTGCAGCATCCCCCCCCATGTCATGTGATCAGATGCTTGGCACAGGAATGTATTTATGATGGTTGCGGGGTCCTGGGATCATGTAATCAGCTATTGCGACCTTCTGACAAGCAAAGTCAATGGGGAAACCAGATTCACTTAGCAACCATGTTACTAATTTAAAATTGTAGTAATTCACCTAATAACAGTGATAGGGAGGATAATAAAACGGGGAGAAAAAAATCACTTGACAACTGACTTGCTTAGCAACAGAAAATTTGGGCTCAATTGTGGTCATAAATCAAGGACTATCTGTATTCTGCATGCAATGATTTATTTCCAGTGATTAAAATGAGAATTTAAATAGAGAGGTTATTGACAAAAGTATTTATATTCTGACTCTGTAAAATTTCCTCAAATCTGATCCTCAGCTGCATTGCTGCCAGTCTACTGAAATCAAGAGGAAATGTATATAATTTTCTCAACCCAGAAACCTTTCTTACTGAAAAATGTGGGAGATTAAATTTGCATTGATCAGTATTAACAGATACAACCTGTAGTCACCCCGCATAGGTAAGATTTTTTTTTCCTCTGGAGCAAAAAAAATCTGACACATCTTCACCTTACTGCCATCAGAATCATTCACTTCAGGCCCCCTTCTTTGTCAATGTTCTGGATGTCATTCAGTTACTTTCACTTTATTCTTCTGCCAGCAGATTTTGAAATGCATTTATCAATCAAAGTTAACATACAAATGAAAATGTCAAAAGAAATCAGAACAACAATACCTCCTTGGGGGATTCATTTAGTAAAATGTTAGCTCCAAGAATCTTATTTTGAAATTGTCTGAGAATACCAGCTTGTTAAAAATTATTCTCAGATCATCTTAATCTCAGATTATTGCCAAAATTATTATTCAGAATGACATCAAGTAAACCAAGAACTACTAGACACATTAATATAAAAAGCTTCCCAAATTGCAAGGGTTTCAGCAGGATACAGTAGAGAAATCAAGATGGCAACCATAATGGGGTGATTGAAACTCCTCTTGGAGTTTATGTGTGTCAACCCATCACAGCCACCATCTTGACTTTTTTGATCACCCCCTGCANCACATAGTCTCTCAGATCTCACCCTCTTTCCCGCCAGACTGAGGGCGGGGGAGGGGAGAAGCCTGGAGCTTATCATACCTTTTTGTGCACCAAGAGACACAAAAGGATTTGAATGGAAGGCTCAATTTCTTCCCTCATCTCCAAGTCACGGGCTATTAGGGACAGACTTTACTGTTAAGGTAACTATTACAGTGATTATAGGGTTATCTATCTGGGATGTGAAAATCCAGATGACTCCCACTCCCCCCACAAAAAACATTAAACCTATGTACTTAAAGAGGTCCACAAGACAGGGACTTCAGAAAGCACTGGTCAATAGGCAGAGGCTCTAAGAAAAGTCAGGAGTCTGGTTTCTTTCTTGCAATCCAAGCCAAAGTAACCGTGAAGGATAGTTCTAGAATCTGGGTGCAGTAGCATAAAATGGCTAATCAATATCAAGAAGATCCCGTACTTGACTACATTGTTCACCACACCAACAGTGAAGCATGCTACATCATATCCTTAGCCCAAACTGTGCCGAGAAAGAAAATGATAATTCAAACATGAAAGAGCTAAAGGCAGTCTTAAGGTGCTTTAAATATGGCCTGGAGATGAGACAAGATCAACACTGTAAAGACACACCATATAAAAATGGTTATTGGGGCATGTTCTTGCTGAAGTGATGGTGATGTGAGAATGAAAGCAGAATACTGACTGAAAATCTTCAAAGCCATATAAACTCCCTTCCTTGGTACTTACATTGCTCCACTTCATGCACTATAACAGCAAATTGTTCATTTTCCAGGACATGTGAAAGCTTTCCCAGGGTGTCATCCAGATTAATCTGTGTATCCCAAATAATCAAGTGAATCAAATGGTTACTAGGAGTCCAAGATCAAGTTCATCATTTGAAATTCCTCCCACGTATTGTCCTGTTATAAACTAAATCCTACATGGGCAATCTGTGCTTATTCAGAGTCATTTTGCAGCAGCAGCAACGCCTATCGTTTCCCTACTTTCCTGAGAAAGGAGGAAAATGGTGCAAATTGCACAGAGAACCCAATTTATATGAAGTTCTAGTGATGAAATTCTCAAAATCAAGGAAAGATCCTGTCTTGAAATCTAATTCACATCCTACATGCTCATGTGTGTCCTCTGTATTCCTAAATGCGTGTACTTCAATTATATTTGCACATGCTTACTCAGGCTTATATTTTAGAGTTTTGTTTGTTTCTTCATACCTTATGTGTTTTTCTACTTGTTCTTTTTTGTATTCAAGTTAATAAAAGCATTTTTAAAACTGTGTGTACTGTACTCTGTATTTATAATACTTCCATGTCACTATGAACCATCTTAAAAATCCATCAAGTAAAGGAATAAGATGCGTGAAAGTCTTTTTTCACATCCAGAGAACACATTTTTTAAAGAATTCTCAAGAAAAGAGATGTATCTTTATTTTCCTACTAATATGTGAAAAGTGTTGTTATGTAATAGGTGGAATACCCTCTTCCCTTCCCTTTGGCCTTGTCTCACTTGCAATTTACAGCAATGTTTTGTAATCCTTTGGTTCACTCTTAAGTTACATAATACTTGAACACCAAAACCATTTTTTTCTGTAAACTGACAGGATTTAACAACTACAGGAACAAAAACCTGCATCATCGCCTATTTTAAAAATGGTGAGCTCAGGTAACCTGCTGCAGTATACAACCAGAGGTGTGACTTGAGCATGTGAGAAGGTAGAGCTCAACAAATCCTGAGGTTAACATATTTGGTAAGCAAGGCCCCATAAGCACAAGATGAAGGCCACAAACTGAATCCATTTTTTTACAACAACTTAGTGGTATATCACATTACTTATGAGGTAAAGCCTTTCTCTCCCGTAACCTCTTTGGCTCTCAAACTATATCCATAATTTCTGCCTCTTCTTTGTTCTGTTCATTTTATGGATGATGCATTATGAATTTTTCAACAAGGTAAAGATAAATACCTTTGAAAATTGTTGATAAGTGACTTTTATGACTGGGTCTAAGAACTGTGCATCTCCTGCCAGGATCGAGGAGAGGATGTTGGTAATAGTTACAATTCCCAAGATGACGCTTTCAAGAAAACAAACATTTTTTTTTACATTCAGACATGGAAAGAGACAAAATGGAATCCTACCAAATCCTCCATGTGCAGGGACTGAGTCCATATTGAGTCTAGCATTCTTAGTATCTGTTTAAGGTTCCTCTTAATTAAGGGAATAATGGACAATCCTTTACTGCTTTAGGCCATAAAATATTATGAAATATTATCTCAAAGGGAAGTAACTGCTGAAACAAAGCAGAAGTGGATAACTCATAGCCCCCAGTTAGTAGCCCCCTGCCCCCAAACATTGTGCTATTAGCAGTTGGGGGTACTTTTTAAAAAACATTTGCTTCCCCAGAAGTTGTTAAATGATTACATTGATCTTCTTCAAGATGTAATAGTTATTTTGCTCCATAAAGTTCTAAAATAAGTTTTAAAATGGGTCCTTGGCAAAACAAAGGACCACCCCTCCCAACAGCAGTTGCATCCCATCCCCATGCTAAAAAGAAACTTACCCTGTTTCTGCCACGACTGGTGCTTGACTGCATGACTTTTCTTGTAGGATTTCAACTGCTTTTTGACAGCTCACATCGGAGAGAAGAATCAGAGGAGCAGAAAGATTCAGCTTCTGGACTTTAATATTCCACCACCTATCAGTCAAAAAGTGTAGTATATATTGTTACTCCTCTGCAGTCAGAATCTGTTCTGGTCTTCCCTGAATATTGTTCTATGTACACAACTTAAAGAAAGAAGACTGAGATAGTTGTAAGGGATTTATTTAATTAATTTAGAAATAAGATAAAAGATTTGTTCTTAGCTAGCATACCATTTCTTGTAAAGATAACTCCTGTTTTTCTTTTCAAAGTGTGCCTCTTTATAAGATGTAATATAAAACATTCATCATTGTAACTATAGTTAATTAAAACACACCAACACACATATAAATCCACATAGTTTACTACAAGTATACAAGGCAAGTCACACACAAAAACCAGGAATTGCAATACAAATAGGGAAAAATCACAACTATCAGCGTAGCCTGGATGACACTCCTCCTAAATAATGCCAGCAGATTTCATAAAAATTGCCCAACCTGGAAGAGGTCCTCATAAATTAATTGTATTTAAATGATTTCCATTCTTAGAAGCAATACAGATACGAAAATAAATTTGGAAGGGGACATTTAAGCTATCAAATCTAATCTTCTGCTCTGTGCAAAAATACACATTAAAGTATATTTGACAGGCTGCTGTCTAGCCTCTCCTTAAACACATCCCAATGCTTAGCACCTCTCTGTGTAATTGGTTTCAATACAGAAGGGGATTTTTTAAAATATAACATTCAGTTGAAATCTCCTCTCTATTACTTAATCCATTATTCTGCATTATAAAGGGCAGTCTTTATGATTCACTATTTGATTTCTTCCTTTTCAGTTTAATTTTTTTCTAAGGATTATATTTAATTAAGTCATTCTGTTGATAGAGGCCATCTCCTCATTGGAACAGAATGAGCATTGAAGGACTGGGAAGGTCAATTGGATTTCCACTGTGCTGAGAATAAAAATCATTTGATATAGCCCTGTATTGGGTGATGGTGGTGGGAAAACAGGACAAGTGCATTAAACTTACCAAGGATAATGTTCCTGAACATCTTTCAGAAATCCATTCTGGGCCATCCATTTGTCATTCAAAAACTTAGACCTGGAAACAATGAAAAAAGAATGAAGGTGCTGTGTTAAGCCTAGAGGTGTCCTAATTCAGGGGATCAAAACAAGAACCTGGCATCACAATCTAAACCCTGCTCCTTTTGTACACGTGTATGATGTCAACACTGCTACAAAGGGAGCCCAGCTTCATTTAACACCATATTTGTCATCTTGGCTGTTTTGATGCTTCCTTGCTGATACTCTGCATCTATTACTGAACCAATCTATATAACTACATTTAAAATCTTTAAACTACAATACTCTTTAAAATTAGGTTCCAACCAGTAAATTAACTATTGTTGGGGTGGGGAGGGAACAAGGTAGAATGCATTTTTGGAGGCAACTGTGGAATGATTTATTAAGAAGTTGGTGGTAAAGTTGAAAACATGTATAAAATAAAAGCTGGCCTTATTGTTAGGCAACTTTAACTTTGATATTATAAGCCGCCCAGGGTTAACCTGTGGTAAGATGGGCAGCCAATAAATTTTATAAATAAATAAATTTACTAAATAAACAGTCAGCTAATTGGGGATGTGATGCGAAGGCAGGAGAGAGTTACTTGCTTTATGTATTATTTTATTTTTACTCCTAGTAAGAGGGCACTTCTGGATTTAATGCATTTGACTTGAACAAACACTATTTTTCTGTTTTATTTATTTATTTAAAATACTTATATAGCCATCCATCTTCAAAATAACTCTGGGTGGCTTTAGCCAATAACACAGTGTTTTGGGGGTGAAGATTCGTTCTCCGAGCTTGTGGGTTGGTTTCCAAACATTTCATTACAGGCTAGGTAACATTGTCAGCAGAGTTTAGGGGATCTCAGTGTCAGTGTTCTGTTTATAAGGCTTCAGGTGTGGGTGTGTCAAGTGAGGGTGTTGTGATGGCCCACGACTGCTGTGCCAAATCTGCTATGAATCATATTGTGAAGTATGCAGACGACATAGTAGTGGTGGGTCTTATCTGGGATGACAATGAAGATACTTATAGGGAAGAGGTGAAGGTACAATAAAAGTAAATTGGTTCTGAATGTTGATAAAACAACATTGTAGATTTTAGAAAGAGCCGGCATAGTCATACTCCACTCAATATCAAGGATGGAGCTGTAGAAATAGTCAATAGTATCTGGGGGTGCAGATAATTAACAATAACTAACAATCTGAATTGGTCTCTCCACACATCATCCCTGGCCACTTTTTACAGAAGCACGATTGAGAGCATTTTAACAAACTGCATCACTATCTGGTTTGGTGGCAGCAGTGCCTCAGATAGAAAGTCCATACAGAAGGTGGTAAGGACAGCTGAGAAAATCATAGGAAGCTCACTTCCTGGTATTCGGAATGCTGCTTATAAGTGCTATGTGCTTAGAGCTCAAAGCATTGTTAGAGACCCCACACATTCACTTTACGATCTGTTGCTCCCCTCTGGGAGGAAGTTTCAAAGTATTTCTAGCTTTGTTCCCAATGCCATCCTCTGGTAAATTTGCAAGGTTCATTTTTCTTGCCATGCACAAGTATACATAATATGAACTAGCCTGGGTTGTTTCTCTGTGTCATATGCATAGTTCTGTATTTATTTTTTTATTTTTGTCATATTTATATAGTGTATATTGGAGGTGGTGACCCTTTGAGAGCTGTATGAAACAAAATTTCATTTTAATGTATGCTGATTAGTGTGCATTCAAAGTGACAATAAAGTTATTATTCTATTCTATTCTATTCTATTCTATTCTATTCTATTCTATTCATAAGGTGTGTGTCATCAGTGAGTGTTTTGGGTTGGTTTTGTTTAATATGACTCAGCTACAAACCGTATTTGTCAAGGAAAGAGGGAGAATGAAGTCAAATACCGCCTTTACTGAGACATCATTGTTACAGTTACAAACCAACCTCTGAAATACTATAAATCAGATATTTTAATGCAAAAATTTGGGTACATTTGCTATTAGTAATACTATTAGGAATTAGAAAACCTTACTGCAAATCCTAGAGATCTACCAACAAATCCAATCTATCCATAACCTCTTGATGACATAGAATCCTTGGTATCAATGGCTTTTTTCATATTTTAGAATCAGAAATAGCTGCTAATATCACACCTTTCTCTAAGGTCTCCTTGAAATTAAAAGGAATTCTCTCCTTAAGGCCAAGCAGAGGTCTCTTCCTCTCCCAGAAAATCCACATCCTGCGTAGTGCAATTGAATCCCGTCATGCCTCTCTGTACAAAGAGAAAGGGGCAATCCCTTTCTCCATGCATAGAAAGTCATGGGGCAATTTGAAGAAAGGAAGGAAAGGATCCAATCTCTTTTCTCAGAAGTGTGAGGTTTCAAGAAGAGGGTGGAATTCAGCAAGGGGAGGATCTTTAGGCATTCTTTTGGCAGGCAGTTTAGTTAATGTGGGCAATCCCTTTCACATAGAAATGAATGTGTTATAAAGCAATGAAAAGCCATTCTCTTACATGTAGTTCCTCACAGAGTCAGGTAAGAGGACAACACAACGCTGACCTTCTTTTAGTTGCTTGGCAGCTTTCACAGCTGCAGACATTGCACTGCCTGCACTGCCTCCTATTATAGAAGCCAGAGGATACACACATTACTCAACAAGGAAAAGAAAACAAGGAAAAGTAATAGCAAAACACTGAACATAAAGAGAGTAAAGGAATGTGAACCTGGGCCTTGTAAAATTTCCATTTTTAAAAAATATTGATGCTTACTCATTGTTATGCCTGCAGTATTTAGAACCTTGTCAAAGCAATCTTGATTTTACATCAGTAAACTGAATTCCATAAACATAGCCTTGCCTGTTTAACCATGTTTTAACAGCAAAAGTGCATGATGGGTGGTACTGCATTGAGTAAGTACTTTTTCTATTCTGACATGATATTGTTATATTGATCTAAGAATCCAGCAGTGGAGATTTGTGGATGCTGAATCTCTTTCCTAGGCTAGAATAAGCAGAATTGTTCAAATCCTAATGTTGTGGGACTCAGTTCTGGTTTGGATGTGATTCCATTTAAAAACTTCCCTGAATAAGAAAATAATAAACAGTTTTCGTATCTAGTACATATTTTAATCAAAAGTTTGTAAAAATGATGGACATTACTATAAGCTAATAGCAATAGCACGTAGACTTACATACCACTTCATTGTGCTTTACAGTCCTCTCTAAGCAGTTTACAGATTCAGCATATTTCCCCGAACAATCTGGGTCCTCATTTTACCCACCTCGGAAGGATGGAAGACTGAGTCAACCTTGAGCTGCTCAGGATCGAACTGCTGGCAGTGAGCAGAGTTAGCCTGCAATACTGCATTCTAACCATTGTGCCACCACGGCTCAGTTAAGGAGTTAGCCTTGTCAGTATTCATTCCTTTTTAATGTAATGTCTAAATTATTTTTCTCTATGGTATACAGATAAAGGACAGACCTCCTGAGATGCAAAACATTCAATATATAAGCCTACTCTATAAAGTGAAGTAACAATTCAAGGTTTTAAGAGGAACTTGGCACAACTGCATCTTGTACGGCATCCATTTCTAAAAAGTAGGCTTTGTCATGTCACTCATGCCTTTGTCGCCTCATGGCTGGATTTTTGCAAATCATTCAACATGGGCTGACAGTAATCATTCAGAAATTTCCACCGGTACAACTTGCAGAAGTTATGGACACATTGATTTTGTTCACACACATCATCATTATTATGGGGGTTGCATTGCCTGCCAGTTAGCTTCCAGATGAAGTCCAAAGTTTGGGTCGTCACCTATAAAATCCTACATGGTCCTGGGCCTGGACATCTCCACAATTGTCTGCTATGAGTTGTGTCCCACTCTCACCTGCCCCAGGGAATAAACAATTAATACCTACATAATTATTCCATCAATATAAGAACTATGTGGTCCTTATATTTTTAAATTTTGATTTACTTTTTAGCTTAGGAGGTAAATTAATTTTTTTTATATTTATCACTATGCAATACTTACCACAAAGCAAGCCCTCCTCTCTAATTAATCTACGAGCCATAAGGAAGGATTCTTTATCATTGCTTTTGCACCATTGGTCTATTACCTACCAAGAATACAAAAGGAAAAATTTTGGATTTCAGCAATTTTCAATAATGATGGGCAAATCTTTTCACCCACTTTTGCAACAAATGCATCATAGAGTGTTGCACAGTAAAAAAACAAGTGACAGAATATTTCAGAAGGTGAAAAATATTTTGGTTACAGCTGACATGAGGTTTTCATCTGGCTTAGGATCAAGACCATAATTCCTTGACTTGCCCTATATAGCTGGTGCTGGGAAATTCTTGGGATGATAGAACGAATGCACCCCGTAGGCAAAAATCAAACACATGCTTTTTCTGCAAAAAGGAGGTCAGCCTTATATTTAATTTTCTTCATTTCCACATATTTCTAATATTTTAAATTATCCATCTGAACAACTATATGGAATGCCTTTTGTATAACTTTTTTTTCTTAATGTATATGTGTTTCAATTTTGTTCTAATAAAGGCACGGAATATAATGTATTTTGTATCCTCCTCCTCCTCAACATCATCCACAAATTTTGAATTAGCAGCTTCCAAAACAATGAATGAATGAATGAATGAATGAATGAATGAATGAATGAATGAACACATACACACACCCATTTAGGGACTACCTCAATTAGTGACCATTTGTAAATATTGCGGTAATAAATGTTTTTGAAAAAATCATTTTCCAACCAATGTGTGCTTTTATAATCGAATTCTGTGTGCCTAACAACAACACACACTGGAGTGAAAGTAATCTTGGTGTAGCTGTATGAGAACTTTATCCAAATGAGATGGAAGCAAACAGTGATCCTCACAGCATGTCAGTCACTTGTTCACTTAACAATCATTTCATTTAATGACTTGGTCATTGGAATGGAACTTGACCTTTAAACAAGAAGGGTAGCATGGTTCCGAAAGAAGAAGCTCTTCAAAGAACTTTGAGGCATTGTTTACCTTAAAGAATCTTTAATTTGCAACATAGCTTCGGCAGGTACATAGAGAAGCCAAAATCTGAATTCTCCTCCCCCAGACTCACAGTAACAAAGCATAACTCACTCCTTCATTTAACAGTCATTAATCACATTCTCCAATTAGTTTGAAGTGTGAACTTTCCCTCCCGTTATCTCCTCTTATTACAACTAACCTTGAAGAATACTCTACTGAGATATTGTTATGGCTAACTAGTCCCCAAGCACATTCTTCCCCCCTCCCTTCCAGCACCATCTAATTTTAACTCTAAAAGTAATACACAGGTTAAATGGAAAATGTCTGCATCTTCATATATTGTCAAGCAAGAACATCCGATGTTAGCAGCATCGACATCCGCCCCCCCCTTACAAAAAGGACAGATTCTGTAATGTAAACCAAAGCATGCTTAGGATTGTTAAGGATTTTTTTCGATTTGTTGGGGTGTTTCGCATGAAACCTTTTGATGAGTCTGTCAGCTTTCACCTCATGTTCTTGCTTGACAAAGGGAGTGAGTGTGAGTGTATACGTGTTTGAGGATATACAGTACATTTATAAATAATATAGATCTGTAGATTGGTCCTGTGTAGATGTATAAATATATCAACATTAGCAAATTATTTTAAATGAATTGTATTTGGATCCTGAAGCTGCTTATTCTTAGCATCACACATTTCATTCCTATGTCTGGTGACATTTGTCACCTTGGGACTTACGGATCTATCAAGGACAGTTGGGATAAAGTCATGACCAATCCCTTCCACTTCCATTGTTGTATCCTTGGCTGAGACTACATTTAATGAGCTGGGCAAAGCAACAATGGAACCATCAGGATCTACTCCAACAATCTGTGAAGGAAGACAAACTGTTTAATACCTTTAATTTCTTCAGTCGATTGTTTTTTATAATAATGTAGAAGTGCTAGGAAGTTAGGGGAGTTTTTACAGGAATAACTTTCATTGGAGGCAAATCCCTGGAATCCTATGGAACCTATACAAATAGTCCTCAACTTATGACCACAACTGAGCTGAAAAATTTCTGTTGCTAAACAAGATAGTTTGCCCCATTTTATGACTTTTCTTGCTACAGTTAAATGGATCGATGCAGTTGTTAACTTTGTAACATGCTTGTTAAGTGACTCTGGCTTCCCCATTGACTTGCTTTTCAGAAGATCACACTAGAACAGAACAGAATAGAATAACAGAGTTGGAAGGGACCTTGGAGGTCTTCTAGTCCAACCCCCTGCTTAGATAGGAAACCCTATACAATTTTGTACAAATGGTTGTCCAGTCTTTTCTTAAAAACTTCCAGTGTTGAAGCATTCACAACTTCTGGAGGCAGATTGTTCCACTGGTTAATTGTTCTAACTGTCAGGAAGTTTCTCCTTCGTTCTAGGTTGCTTCTCTCCTTGATTAGTTTCCATCCGTTGCTTCTTCTCTTGCCTTCAGTTGTTTTAGAGAATAGCTTGACTCCCTCTTCTTTGTGGCAGCCCCTGAGATATTGGAACACTGCTATCATGTCCCCCCTCGTCCTTCACTTCGTTAAACTAGACATACCCAATTCCAGCAACCGTTCCTTATATGTTTTAGCCTCCAGTCCCCTAATCCTTCTCTTCATTAAACTTGACCTTTGACATAGCCCACCTATGTTAGTGATGGCCCACCTGGCACATGACTATTGGGAAGCTAACCATGATTATCATTCCCAGCAATATCCCAGAAAATGCACCACAAGAACTTCAAAATGGAAGCAGCTCCCAAGGCCCAGTTGGGGACTGATTCTCAAGGAACCACATAACTGATCCTGATTGAAATAGCAAAGCCAGACCCACATACTTTGCATGCAGGGCATTTCTCCTTCAACTTTCTGGCAACACCAGTGATAGTACCACCTGTGCCAGCTCCAGCCACAAACATATCAATTTTTCCTGTATTTAAGAAAAAATAAAACAATCAAACAAAAAGCATGTAACTATATTGCAAGAGTAACGTTCATACTAGTATATATAAGTTCAATCATTTAATCACTGTTAGTTATAAGTGATTTACTCCAGTTTTCTGGGATTGCACTTAACATCTATTTTTAATGACATGCTTCTATCTTTCATATCCAGCAGGTAGCAGCACGAGGCTGACTTTGGCTCATCTTGGAAGGTATGACAATATC